GAATGGCTAAAACGAAAAAATGATAATACCAAATGCTGACAAGGAGGCAGAGAACTGAATGACTTACACACTGCTGCTATAGCCCCAAGAAGAGGACATAAATTTAAGGCTCTCAGCACATAGATGATATTTACAACTGTCTGTCAGATGAGATGACCAAGGGAGTAAAAGCATAGGAAAGAGAATAGGCCCAGGGACTAAGATTTCAGACACGTCAACAATAAAATGCCAAGAAATCAGATGGAAACAGAGGAGACTAAGAATAAGGAAATAGTGAGGAAGAAAGAGAGCCACAAGAGTGTGCTGTCCTATGACAAGTAAAGAACTTTACAGGGAAAAGTTAAGAAAACATTAACAACCACTTTGTTGAGCTGTTAGGAGGCACCCAGTGCCAGGAACACAGAGTTCAATCCACAGGAGTTTGAGTCTCCCTCAATTTATACTTGCTAAATGGTACATTTTTGTTCCTGCTGATCTGTTTCGCTTGTTTAGTATCTGTTCCAACAAAATTGTTTATGAGAAAAACTACCAAAAAGACAGTATATTTAAGATGGCTCTCAATTTGCCATCAATAAGCAAGTTTAGTGAGCAATGAAATATAATTAGAAATCTACCAAAACTTCTACATGCTTTCTTAGTTTACTCATTCAGCTGTGAAATCTTGGGTTCCCAAGGTACTACTACCAGGGACATCTAAACATAAGCCAACTCTGTTTATTCACTCGAAATTAATACAATAGATTAACGAATCCAGAATCAGGCCCATATCAATATGTTCAAATGACTGATCATCAACAAAGGGGCAAAAGCGATTCAAGGAAGGATGACCTTTTCAACAAATGGTCCAGAGCAACTGGACATCTATAGGTAAAACAATGAACTCTGACCTAAGCCTCATACAAAACGAAACTCAAAACTGATCACAGATCTAAATGTAAAACCAAAAATTTTAGGAAAAAATAGAACGTCTTTAAGATCTAGCACTAAGATCGTGAAAGCTTCTAGAGCTTTCAATGATCAAACAGCCTGCTGCAAGCCATGCTTGCCATACGTTCACTACCATTAGACTAAGGGAGCACAATTCATAAAGAAAAAAACTGATAAATTGGATTTTATCAAAATTTAAGATGTTTGCTTAATGAGAAAGTCACTCTAAAAATGCTGAAATGACAAGTAAACACTAGGAGGAAATATTTGGAAACTACATATCTAACCAAAGACTCATATCTATATTTTTTAATACTTGACAGAAAAAATATTTAAACAATCAATTCAATTAAATCAAGCAATTTACTAAAAGGCAAATTAATACAAGAAAATATGTTCAACTTCATTGGTTATTAGAGAGCTGCAAATCAAAACTACACTTATCAAAATGGCTAAAATTAAAAATAGTTGTGAGACCAAACCATGGCTAGGATGAAATTTTACAGCTGCTCTGGAAAACAGTATGGCAGTTCCTTAAAAAACAAAACTTGCCATGTCTAAAGCCCTAGGTTGAACACACTACACATTTAGCCCTAGGTTCAACACATTTAGCACTGCAAAACACAGAAAGGGAAGGAGGTTGGAAGGGAGGCAGAGGAAGGATGGAACAAAAGAAGGAACAGAGGTAGAAAAGGAAGGGAACAAAGGTGGGACAGATGGATGAACAAACAAATGAATAAATTAACTGGCTTACCACAAGACCCAGCAACTGTACTCTGGGCATTTATCTCAGGGAAATAAAAAGTTCACAGGGAACAAAGAGCACAAAATAAAGGATGGACAGGAGACAAGGGCACAGATCTCTTGCAAATGAAAAGGGCTCCAGGAGACCAAGGGTGAGAGGAGAGGGAGAAGGGAAGAAGAAATAAGTAGAATTAAGATATTGCCATGTACAAGAACCTAACAACCTCATGAACATAAACATTTGATGTCAGAAATATGAGATAAGATTAATAATATCAACAAGGACAAAAATGGGGAAAGGAGATTTAGAGAAGGAGGGAGGGAGGCGGGGAAGAAGAGGAAAGGGATTAGAAAAAGAATCAAACTGTATTATGTACAGGTACCCACTCCCCAAAATGACTGTAAACTAGATGTACTGATAACATGTGCAAATAAAAAAAAAGTTTACAGGTTGTTTAACCATTGACTTTTGAGAAGATGCAAATGTTCATTGTATGTTTATTCTTTATTTTTTTTTTATTTTAAAGAGAGTAGTAAAACAAGAAAAAATAACAATAGCAGCATACCAACATCGCAAACATAAACAAAACAAAGCAAGTATACTAAAAGTGATACAGGGTTTCAAAACAAAATGATAGGAATTGACAGTGGTTGTTATATTACATATTGTTATCTTCAACTACATTGCTCAGATTACCAGATGTAAGAATGGAAGATTATCCAAACCATTAAAGAGAATAAAGAAAAAATTATTAGATAAATATTAGGGATAATACAGGGTTTCACTAGATAAGATGGTAGGAATTTACCAATGGTTGTTCCATATACAAAAAAATTAATGAATCGAAAAGTTGGTTCTTTGAAAGAATAAGTAAAATAGATAAACCTCTAGCCAACCTTATCAAAAAAAGAAAAGAAAAAACTATAATACATGCAATAAGGAATGAAAGAGGTGAAATCACTACAGATCCTGTAGAAATTCAGATCATCAAACCTACTTTGAAAATCTTTACTCTAGTAGGATGGAAAACACAGAGGAAATGGACAGATTTCTAGATATTTATGAATTACCTAAGCTGAATGAAGAAGATATAAAAATCCTGAATAACTCAATATTAGCCAGTGAAACTGAGAATGTAATAAAAAAAAAACCTTGCCAATGAAGAAAAGCCTAGTTCCCCATGCATTCACAGCTGAATTCTACAAGAAATTTAGAGAAGATTTAGCACCAATTCTTCTCAAACTCTTTAATGAAATTGTATCTTTATTCATAACAGTCAAAAACTGGTGAACAACCGAAAGTTATTCAACAGGTCCATAATATACCACACAGGTCCATAATATACCACACAACAATAAGAACTTCTGAAATATATAACAACTTGGACAGAATTAGGTTAAGTGAAAAAAAAAATAATGCCAAAAGGTGGCAAATTGTATGATTCCATTTCTATAACATTTTAAAACAAAAGAATTACAGAGATAGAAACCAGATTAGTTGGGAGGAAGCTAGGTTTGTAGGTGGGGAGAACTATGCTATGTCTACAGAAGGATAGCTCCAGTTTATGGTAATAGAACAGTTTTGTACCTAGTCTGCAAAGCTATTTACACAAATCTACATGAGAAAAGACTTTTAGAAAAATATACACATAGGTACAACATTGATACAACGGTGAAACATGAATAAATTGGCCAATGTACAAATGTCATATTCCTAGATTTGTTACTGTTCAACAGTCATGCAAGGCATTATTATTTGGGAACATAGATGAAAGGTACCTAGAACAAGTCTACATGTGTTTTGTCTTGTTTATAAGTTGCTGTGAATTTATAATTTTTAAAAATAAAATATTGCAAATATTGTGACTTTTCAAGTCATTCCCATAAAATATGCCATTTGTATAAAGCAATCATATAAAAAATGTACCATTCTTTATAATCAGGGAAGAAAGTGGTGTTCTAACACTAAAAGTTTTTTTAAAAATCTCATTAGAATACCTCCCCTTTTAGGTTCCCAACATGATACAAGAAGGGGTAACCATGCTTTACCATGTCCTAAAGTAAAAGGACATATGGATGAAACATCACTGAGAACATATGAGCATTTAGCTAACTACACTTCAGGAGTAACAACCTAGAAATTACGGTCCACAAGACAATATGGCCCACAGCCTCTTCTGTTGTAGTCCACAAATGAGGAATGTATAGTAACTCTTTTATTTTGTTTTGTTTTGTGGTACTGGGTATTGAACCCCGAAGCTCATGCACACCAGGCAAACAACCTACCACTGAATCACATCCCCAATCCTTTATTTTTTTAAATTTTGAGATAGGTCTTATAAATTGCCTTAGGCTGACCTTAAATTTGTGATCATCTTGTCTCAGCCTCCGGAGTTGCTGGGATTACAGGCATGCAGTACCACACCCCACATGCACACTCTTTAAGGAGTGTTTTTGAAAAACAGAGAAAAACACAACAAAGACATAATGTACTAGTCCCACTTTATCTGCAGTTTACTTTTTTAAGGCTTCAGTTGTGATTAACCATGATCCAAAAATATTAAATGGAAAATTCCAGAAGTAAATGTAAGTTTTAAATTACACACTATTCCAAGCAATGTGATGATGTTTTGTACTATCTTATTTTGATCTGCTCCATCCACCAAAAATGAAGCATCCTTTTGATGCTTGCTTGTAGCTTGCTTGCTTGCTTTGATGTGCAAGCATTCCTGTTGCATATACTACCTACTACCGTATATGCTACCCACCAGTTAGCCAATTAGTAACCCATCCCAGTTTTCAGAGGAACAGTTAAGGTACAGCAATGCTTGTATTCAAATACCCCTTCTTTTACTTAATAATGACCGCAAAGAGCAAGGGAAGTGATGTGGCAACTTTATTATAGCATACTGTTGTATTTTTCTATTCTATTATAAGGCATTTTTATTAACCTCCCACTATACCTACACTTATAAGTTAAAATTTATCATAGATATGTATGTATAGGAAAAAACAAAGCACATATACCCTATATGCAATTTTAGGCATATGCCAGGGCTTTTAAAATGTATCACCTGTCAGTAAGACAGGACTACTATTGCTATTATTTGGTCCTTTAAAAAAGATTTGCCAACCTTGTTTTATAGTATTCCTCAACAAACTGCAGGACAACTTTAGGAGCCAAGATTAGTTTTAAAAACTCCCTCCCCTACTTGCATCATCCATTTGCCCTTTCAGAGAGAAGTCTTTGGTTTTTTTGTTCATTCCTCAATCCCAGAAGCTCTGCTGTTAAAAGTGTCACCTCAGGCATTAGACTTGGCATAGCTTACCAATGGGAGTGCTGTCTTTAGGGAGCCCAGTGTCCTAAAAGAACTTCTAAAATCATGTCCCCACTCAGAAATACAATGAGCCTCATCCACAGCAATCAGTGTGATACCTGTTTAAACAACATATAAATGGAAAAAGTTCAAAAAGGGAAAAAACTCATGTAAATCAATTTTGTTTTCTTCATTTAGAATATATATAAAGCTTACAAAAAGAACAAAAAATGTATGTCACTTTGGGGTTCATATTAAAATGTAAGCATAAGTATATAACACCAAAATAACATCGAAAGTCGTAACTGGGAATAGGGGGAGGGAAGACAAATGAATATAAAAGGCATTAGAATAAAAAGAAAACATTTACATATTAATTCAAATAATATATTTTCAGTGTTCATTATTCTTCAGAGAAATAAACTGCTTACTAGCACTTTCTCCTCAAAACTATTCTTATGAACCACCTGCAACAATGTCTTTAAAAAAACAGTTCTATTTCTCTTCAATAATGCCTTCAATCTTCTCTCATAGATCAGCTATCAAAAGAGACAGAAAGAATCAGCACATTTCTACAGAGATTAAGCGCATCACTGTCCATGACTGATCATATATCACATTACAGAAAGTCCTTCGGAAATGCCAGTATTACAAGATGACATCTACAATATCTAATGTAAAATAGAATGAGAAAAACTAAATCTCATAATGTACAAAGTAGGTAAAAGGAAGATATTTTGTTTTATTGTACAATCATCCATTAAAATGTCTTCAGATATTTCAAAGTTATGTCTAGTATGCTTTTGTCCTCCATACCAAATTAATACTTAACACTAAGTAATTTTTTCCTTTACCTGAGTATTAATACCGTTCTGCCACTAGAGGGATGACTAAAATCATGTGCTCTGGAGTCAGACTGCTGGGATGCAGAACCTGCCTCCACCACTTACTGTGTCTAAAACAAAGTTTTCCAAATCTCACTTTCTACACAAGTACAATGTAGATAACAAAAGTACCTAACTTTTTTTTTTACCCTAAAGATTAAATTCAATCAGTCCAATAAAATGCTTAGATAGGACCTAGCACTGGCATAAAAAAAAGCTCAATTTTTAAAATATTATACTATTATCATTATGGTTATTAAATGGCAGGTATGACCTAAACCCTTTTCTAGGAATAAAAAGATTAATAAAATACAATTCTTGACATTGAGGAATTCACAATTACCCAAGAGGAGATAGACATGCCAGTGAACAACAGCAATTCATCAAGATTAAAACTACATGCAATACAGTTCTAAGAGAGCAAGGAGGGGAAAGAATGCAAATAAATCTACTAACCATAAGCACAGAAATTCATTAGCAACAAAATTCTCCAGCCACTTTTGAGCAGCTGATAAAACATCAGTGTAACTGATATGATTATTTTTTCAGAAACCAGATCACCTAGATTTTAAATTAAACATGTCTTTAAAAAAAGATGATGATCCTCCTTTATTTTAATTAGTTGCAGATTTGATTGAGTAGCTTTTAGAGAAGCTTAATTTTTACCAAAATCAGAGGAGGCAAGCTTTTGTCAAGAATGCTCACTTTAAATGTACAAGTTCAAGCGTTTTTGCAAGACCTACAAGTATTTCATTTAGCATATCCATCATGCAAGTCTGATTTCTAAAAAGACATTTACAAGTATGGTAGTAAGGAGCGTCTATATAAAAGTATGTTTGCTGTCTCAGTTATAAATCCAAAGTTCTTAAATAATTTAACATTTATCTAAAAATTATGAGTATAATTACTCAAATGTCAGACTACTGTAAAAATAACATCCTGAGTACATTAACTTTTGCAAGTGATTTACAATTTCCTACAAACAAAAGCCAAAGGAAAATATTATTTCAAAAGTAATTTCCATTTATCCCTTCTTACTCAACATTAAGTCACCCCCCAAAATTTTTTCATAAATCCCAAAGTATTGTGCTATAATGATACCAGTGCTCATAATCCATCCATTATTTACAAATATAAGTGATTATAACAAGCTATAAGTGCTTGTTTTAGCTTGTATTTTAGATGTCCTCACAAAGCCTCAGGCTTTTCAAAGGTAGCTTGATTAACGGTGTGTAATGCGGATTAAGAGTTGTATGAATGTGGATTAAGAATGTTACAGCTAAATTTGTAATTTAGTTAACACTGATTGGCTTAGCATTACTCTGGGTGTGGGTAATGGGAAGGCTCACCCTGGGTGTCAGTGGTGACACCCAAAAGGCTTCAAATCTGGATGAAATAAAAGGGAAAGAGGCCTGCTGCTTTGCTGCTTCCTGCCTACCTTGCCATGGACTATTTCTCTTCTGCCATGGTGCTCTGATATGCCAACCTGCCTTGGAGCCCGCAAACTATGGACTGAAACCTCTACAAACTGTGAGCTGAAATAAATCTTTCCTCCTTTAACTTGTAAGTGACAGGTGTTATATTTCAGCAAATGTTGTACTTCAGAAAACTAAGATACTGCTTATCAAAAGTATTAAATAACAGCTTAAATATTTAAGCTAACTATTCATTTAATACCACCACAAAAACAAAACAAACACTAACATGCAACAAAATATACCCAAAGCACTATGGCCACAGATCCTAGCTTTTGTAATCAAAGCAGGAAATTTATATCTAGGGTAGTTAGGCTTAATCTAAAGTGAAGTATTTAAAAGAAACTTCATGAAAACTAATAGGAGCCATATCAAATTCATTTTCCATTAAATGCAAAAATATACCTATAAAGGAGTTGACTAGCTGAAGGAGGTATTTAGATAATATATTTATTCAAATGTTAATTTCTGCACTCATTCATTTTTTACTTTTATCACACACTAAAAGACGTTCATTTTCATTATGTTGTTGGAAAAATCGTTAAATATTTTCCTGATATGCACTTATTCCTGATATTTATTTATTAAGTAAAATGTTACAATGTTGAAAATTTAAACTATCTGGGCATAATTTAATATATAATTATTCAAGAAATTCACACAATTTGGAAAAACTAAGTTTACTTAGTTCAACTGAAGGTATAAAATATGAACATTTGTGATCAAAATCATGAGTGTGACTCTCAGGAAACCACTAAGAAAACAATAAATAAAAAATTTTACATATCCCCAGTAGAGCAGTGTTAGTTTTTTACTAATTCTACATTTATATTTTCTACAAAATAAGCTCTGACTTAGATTACCTAATCCGGGACATTTGTCTGTTTATAATCAGACATATTCATGGGTATCAAAGGAACTGTGGTTCCCGACCCTAATTACACATGAGAATCACTTGTGAAAAATTACAGATGCCAAGCCTATTACATCAGAATTTTTAAGGTTGAGGACCAGTTAGCTATACTTTTCTAAGGCTGAAGGGTGAGTCTTATGCACAACAAGGAGAGAGAACCACACATAAATTCTATTTACATTCAAAATATGAAAAAATGGTAAATTATAATTTCATAAAATCTGAGATTCAATATTTATTCAATGATATATCTAAGTAACCAATTATGTACCAATCACTATACTAGGGAAACATAAACAAGAGTTGCAGTTTCCCCTCAAAAAGTTTATATCCTAGCTGAAGAAAACAGATATACAAACAGGAAATTATAACAAAGGAGCCCAATTGCTATGGTAAAAGTATGAGATAAAACAGGAGAGGCAACAAAGTGGACGTCAGAGAAATTTCTTGGAGATGTCTGAAATAAACTTTAACAAAAGTTAAATCTAGTATCTAGCTACAGGTTTAACTCTTTAGGGTAATAATTCAGTAAGTATTTATAAAGATACTATTCTGTCACTTACCAATATTAGCCTGAAGTTGCTGGAGCAGGTCCAAGTTACCCGAACAGAATTCAGGAGTTATGTAAATAATCCGATATTTGCCTCTATGAAAAACAAACAAAATAGGAACACCAAAGAAAAAAAAGGCACAATAAAGAAAACAATCATCTCAGTGAATTACAACTTCAAATCAAAATACCTAATAAATTTTTAAAAGGTGCATTATGCCCCTTATAAGAAAACTAAATGAATGCTATATATGTGTTTACATATTCACATGTATTAAGTGTTTGACTTCTCTTTAATACAGGAAAATAAAATGTGGCAATCTGGCATAGCGTACTCAGCACTATGACGACATTAAAAGCCAGGCTCTTGATTTCCAGGAGTCTAGTCCCAAAACTACAGCGCTTGAGTTAAACGAAAAACTTTTCATGATGTTATCCTACCCATCACCACACTCCTTTTCCGAGAACTACAACCTAGAATTCCTGTTCTCTCATGGTTAAGCCTTCAGTAATCATATTTATTCTATGTATTTTGCTTTTTTGCCTAAAATTTACTGGGCCAGAGATAGGGTGTCAAAGTCAAGGCAGTTTAGTCTCCCTCCTAGAATCTGGAAGTCTAATCATGAAACAACCAGTCGGCACAATACAAAAAAAAAGGGAATTGTACAGCAGCCATCCTCTATTGTGTGACTAAAAAAACCAATAATGCTTATCTCCTCAGAGAAAAGAAATGAGAAAGACACATGGAGACTCCAGATTAAAAGAAAGCTCTATTAGATTTTCCAAGTCCAGTTCCAGTCTGTTTTTATGGGCTGCCTAACTTTTTTTCAGTAGGAGCCATGAAACACTCCTTTATCCCTAATACAAAATTCAGTATTTGCTTTAACTACACTAAGTTTACTTCTATTCTGGGCAGATATAGTAGTTATTAAGATGATATCTGTTATAAAGACTAGGTCTTGGGCAAAATATAGAATGTCTTTCTCCATTTACTGAATAAAACAGTTAAACAATGAAAACAGTTAAAACAGTTAAACAATTACATTCATTCAAACAAATATTTGAGTACCTACTATGTGCTAGGTATTGTACTTTCTCTAGGAATCCATTAAAAAAAAACACAAATATTCTCTTGACCTTCATCAATGGTTGTCTAATTAACATAGGAAACAATATAAAAAATCTTTGATGTCAGACTGTCCAGGTTTGAAACTCAGTTCTAATGTTAACAAGCAAACTGACTTTAGGCAAGTTAGTTAACTTCAGCATGCCCCAGTTTCTTCAGAATAAGACAGTGATAGTAATTATCTTTAGATATACAGATTCTTCAGATATACAGATTCAAGAAAACCCACATCAAAATCTCAATAGGAATCTTAGTTCAACAGATGATGTTGAAATACTTAGAAATAAAAAGAACCCAGAAAATCCAAATCAACTTTGAAAGAAAAGAACAAAACTGGAGGACTTGTACTACATGACTTCAAAGTTTAATAAGGCTCTAGTAAGGAAGGATGACAAACAAGACTGACAAATGGATCTACAGAACAGAAAACAGAACAGCAATAGACCCACTCTGACACAAGGTCTCATTAAGTAGCTCAGATTGGCCTCAAACTCTTAACCTCCTGCCTCAGCCTCCCAAGTAGCTAAGAGTACAAGGCATACATCACCATGCCTGGCTAGTCCATTTATTTTTTATAAACATAAAAAGGCAATTTAGTGGAGAAGGAATAGTCTTTTAAAAAATAGAGCTGGTACAACTGGACATATGTAAAAATAAATAAAGTATAAGCAACACCTCAAGTGATATACAAAATTTATTTAAAATGACTTAGAGGTCTAAAGGTAAAATATAAAACTTTACAACTTTTAGGAGAAAATATAAAATGAAATCTTTATAACTTTGGGCTAGGTAAAGATTTCTTAAACACCAAAGCAAAATCTATAAAAAGAACAAATTGACAAACTGGACTTTATCAAAACGAAAGCCTAGGGCTGGGGGTGTAGCTCAGCGGCACAAGCGCCTGCCTGGCAAGCACAAGATCCTGAGTTTGATTCCCAGTACCAAAAAAAAAAAAAAAAAAGTCTATAGCTCTTTAAAAGAACTGTGAAGAGAGTAAAAAGAGAAGACATGAATTAGGATAAAATGTTTGCAAAACATACATAAAAGAAAAGATTTATATCCAGAATATATAACTATCAAAACTCAGTAAGGAAGAAAGACCGATAAAGAATGGACTAAAGATCTGAACAGATACTTCCTCAAAGAAGATATAGATGTTCAATAAGTATATGAAAAGACGCAACATAATTAGTAAGGCAAAGCAAATTTAACACACAATGCTAAATTTAAAATTATTAAATTGCTATTAAAGTTGGTAAAATTAAAGTTTGGCCATACCAAGAAATGTCAAGGATGGGAAAGAACTGGACCTTTCATATACTGCTGGGGGGCGTGGAGTATAAAACAGTACAATCACTCTCCAAAAGTTTGACATTTCTTAAAAAGACACAGAATCACCATATGACCCAGCAATTTCACTCATTAACATACACACAACAGAATTGAAAAACATATGTTTACATAAAAACTTCTACACAAACATTCAAAGCATTATTATTCCTAAAAGCCAAGTAAGAGTAACCCAAGTGTCTACCACTAGTAAATGGGTAAACAAAATGTGGAATGCCTATCCAGTGGAATACTACTCAGTCATAATAAAAAGTGAAACACTGATAAAATAACGCTAAGGGAAGATGACAGACACAAAAACCACACACTGTATAAGTTCGTTTATATGAAATGTCAAGGGCAGGTATACTAAATGGAGACACACAGTAGATGAGTGGCTGGAATGGAACAGAAAAGGGAACAACTAGTAGGGACTGGTTAATCGGTGTGACAATACTTTTGTGGGTAATGAAATGTTCTGCAATTTGTGATGACAGTTATATAACATTATTAACACACCAAAAGCTTCCAGACACTAATAACAGTAAAAATGGTAAATTTTATGTTATGTCAATTTAACTTTACTTGGCAAGTTGACTTTACTTTGAAAAAGTAAAGTTAAATCCACTACCTTTCCAGTCATTGCACTCGTATGTACCAATGAAATGAAAACATATTGTTCAGAGTAGGTTTCCCTGTAGTTGTCTAAAATGAAAACATTCCAAATATCTATTAACAGGTAAGTGGATAGATTGTAATGTATCCAATGTAATATATTCTACTTAGTAATAAAAGGAATGAACTATTAATAAATGTAATATCATGGATGAATCTCAAAATAATTATGCTGCATTATGTAAGCCAGACAAAAGAAAGAACATATAATGGATGATTAACTCCATTTACATACAATTTTAGAAAACACAAACTGATTTACAGTGATGGAAAACAGATTAACAATTACCTAGGGTGGGGAAGGTAGGGAAAGAAGAAAGAATGGTTTAGGAAAAGTACCAATAAACTTTGCAGGTGATGATTATGTTCATTATCTGAATTTTGATGATGGTTTTGTAAATGCATACATATGTTAAAATGTACCAAATTGTACATTTTCAGTATGGAAAATGTATTACATGTCAGTTATACTCCAATAAAGCTAAATAAAATATTCAAATATACAAAACAGATGTCCACAAAAAAATTATTTTGAAATGTTAACATCAGCTTCCTTACTAATAGTTTAAAACTAGAAATAGCCTAGGCATCTATCCATGAGGAAATGTAAAAACAAACTATAGTACATTCATCCTCAGACATTAAAAAAAACCACTACTGACATATGCAACAACACGGAAGAATGAAAAGGACACTACACTGAATGAAAGTCTTCCAGAAAACAGTTCATTTTATGTGACTCTGTTTACATGAAATTCTAGAGTAGAAAAACTCAAAGCACTGATTTGTTTCAGGATACAAGATGAGAAGGATGGATGTGAGGTACATGAAGGAACTTTCTAGAGTCACAGTAATACCGTACCATCTTGATAAGGGTTTGGGTTACATATTTGTATGCATTTCTCAAAACTTATTAAATGCATCTGTGCACTGAGTATGGATTTATATATGCATATAAATATACTAATATGTATATATATTGACATTAGTGTGTACATATGTATATACACGTTTTTAGTGTATACTTAAGATGATATTCTTCTTATGTAATGATAGAATCGGTAGGAAAGGACTTAAAAGTCAAGACCAGTGGCAGCAAGTCTATAGCACACGTACTGCAGCCAGCTGTTTATTATCACTGAAAGCTCTAAAAGGGTTGGCATCACTGGTCCAGTTTCTGCTCAGTAAGAATTTCACTGCGTGACTCTGGGAAAATCATTTGTCTCTGGGCCTCAGTGTCCTCATTGATAAAAATAGCCAAATCCAGATATTCTGTGAGTTCTATTTGGTAAACTTGCCAAGTTTACGAGGACCTTTCTTGACCCATTCCTTCCTCTTTCCCTGCCTTTCCCAATCCAGTCACCAATCACCAAAATGAAACGTTTATAATTCCATGACTACAATGTTAATCTTACAGCTCAGGAACTAAGAATAACAGAACCCTCTAAGTTAGAAACATGCTAAATTAACTATACTATGTACTACAAAGTACATTTAATTAAGGACATTTTACTCATGCATTAAGTAAAATATTTCTATACAGAATTTTCTCAGATGCCACAGTCACCTGAGTAACTTACAATTTAACATCTTCAAGAACATTTTTTGATTGTGCTGATCCAAGGAAACAGGCTGGAACGTTGGACATTCTATAACAAGAACAACAAATATTCCAGACCAAAGTATACATTACAAATGTTAATTTCATCTTTGAGTGAGTACAAATAAAAAAGTTGTAATGTGTATTCCTGTTCTCTGCAACCTTTTTCTCTCCCTTCATATCTTACTAACTTGATAAAGTCCTGCAGGGGCCAGGGAAATTTTTCAGGTTGAATCTTTCATTGATAACTTGAGTTGAAGAAGATAAAAAGTTTTTCAGAGATAAAAAATAGACTTCTCTGTATGTATTTCATACCAAACTAAAGTACAGGTAACAGAACAACAGACGAATTTTTAAAAAAAAAATGTAAACTGGAAAAATAATAATACCTTTTAGAAAATTTTATTAAGGCCCCCTGATAACCCTGATTTATAGAAAAATCAAGAGAGAAGATAAAGGCCGGAAATGCAGATTAGTGGGAGAGCACTTGCCTAGCATGTACAAGACCCTGGGTTTAATACCCAGCACCAGAAAAAAAAAAGAAGAAGAAAAGGAGGAAGGTAAGATCTTCCACTAAAGTGTTATTTATTGCTAGTACAGATAAAGCACAACTTGCAGAAATGTGCTGTTTTGAACTAAATTTTAACACAATACATCAGATTTTTCATTTACAGACTAAAGCAAGAGAGCAATGATGTGGCAATGAAAGCATTACGTACTCAAGCTGGAGCACTTGGTCTTCCATCAAGGAAATAAGAGGTGAGATGACAATGCCAATCTTTCCTAAGTACACAGGTGGGTACTGGAAGCATAAACTCTTTCCATATCCTTAAAGTAAAAATAATACACTCACATAAATAAAAAATAACATCTCCTTACCATGTACTTGTATGGCTGAATGATCAGTACTAGCATATCATCTTCCTAAAAACTACTTCATGCATAAATTTCAGCACCTATTTCCTGTTCACTCTCTTCTATTTTTTAAACCACTTGTATGTATATTTTGAGACTTTAATAAAAGGTTAAGCACTTCAAACCCTTTATGTTTTAGTTTTTGAAGAATTAGATTTTTCACTTAACTATTACTTACCAGTTGCCATGACAACAACATTATCTCTTCTTTCTTCCAAAACAGAATGAATAACTTTCCACTGAACCCTTGAAGGTAAAAAGCAAAAAGCTATTTTGTTTTATTAATGAGAAACTCAAATGATAAGTTGAAACTTATTTAATTTTTTACTTCCACTAACAGAACTTCATTTCTAATTCTGAGTTTCAAATATAAATGTATACACACCTAGAACTTTACAACAAGGAACTCCATTAATCAACTTCTCAATTAGGATAGCTAAAGAATTAGGAGTTTACATTTCACGGTACGTATTAAATTTTATTACATATACTTAAAGTATAAAGTACATTTCAAGCTTCATGCCAGATATCCAATGGAACCCATTATTTAAATTAAAGAAGAGAAATGATGTAAGATTAAAATGAGAGAACTGTTGGAGTAATGGTAATATTCTATATCTTGATAAGGACTTAAGATATGTGGATGTGTGCTTACATACTTGAGATATACAAACATTCATTTAAAGTTTGTACATTTCTTGTATGCAAATTTTACCAAAGGAAAATTACAAATAAATATTTAACTCTTAGTTAATAATTTATATGCTGAGATACTTAGGGAGAAGTGTAATGATGTCCAAAATTGACCCTGAGATGCATTCTAATATTCTGACAGAGTAATAGATCAATAGAGGGATGGATAGATGGATATGTGGTAAAACAAGTACAGTAGGATGTAAACAGTAGAATCTAGGTGATGGATAAACACATGGGAGGAAAGGGAAAGAGAATAAAATGATTAAGATGTGTGATGTACATGTAGCAACTCCACATGATAAGCGTAATCTATGTACTGTAAATTATGTACTGTAAACATATACTAATAAAAATTTAAAATCCTTTCAACCTTACCTTAGAAAACTTTCTTATAATCTCTTCAAGATATTTCTAGATAAATGAATGTACCTCGAGACCATACTCTTAAGTGAAATAAATCAGACACACATGTATAAATATCACATTGTTTCTCTGGTATGAGAAACTGAAAGTGTAAATAAGGACCAAAATGTATAATAGGTATTGTGAAATGGGAAGAAAATATTCCAGTGGGGAGTGGAACAAGGGAGAGAGAAGAGAAAAGTAAAAAAAAAAAAAAAAGAGAAGAGAAATGAAGGAAAAAATGGAAACAAAGCTTTTGTAAATGGGGAGTTGAGGAGGGGTTGAAGAGAGGTTAGGGGAATGGAAAAAAAAGAAACAAGTTCTATCATGTACTGTTACAAATTCTCTATGATGAATGTGATCATTATATATATCTAAAATGTACCAAGAAAACATAATTGGAAAAGGAGAAAAAAAAAAGTTTACAAAGACAATAAATACCCAACTGCTGAAAAAATATATATTTTTAATCATCTCAAGGGAAAACTCAGAGGTGGTCTCTGCCAGGCTGATGATGATCTTATCTAAGTGCTGCTTGTACAGGGTGCTCAGTTTATCAAAATTCACTAATCTAAACACCTATGTGCACTTTCCTGTATATAAGACATGCTTAAATTTTAAGTTTGAAAGACAAAAAGGAAAGAAATGTTTCAATGGAGTTTTTTTTTAATGCTTAAACTGGAAAAATCTACTCTTAATTTTTACATTCTTATTACTTTTATGCAAATTTACTTGCTCCTCATCTCACTTTTACTCATGTATACTTACAAATATGCACATCAGAGGTAAATACAGTTTAAGAATGTTAAATAAATTATCATTGTTCTTGAAACTACTGTCTTACAAGCTTCTATTACCTTTGGGAAATATGATGCACAGAACAGGCACACAGATACTTAATGAAAAATACACCAACATAAAATGGAAACTCATGAATATCTTTAGTTTCTACATAGAAGCACTCAGTTAAAAGAAAAGCACTTTCCTTGCTTATAAACATGATTTGCAGAAAGGAATTTTATATATAATATTACTTCAAAATAATTTTGCAGTCACTTATAGGAATTAGAGTGGAAAATATGACTAATAGTGATAGCGTGTTGCCACCACTGAATAGATTATTTTTTTCCCCTGTGAAAAAAAATACTAAAATATGTAATCTAATTGAGATTATACTCACGGTTTAAAACTATGATGGCCAAAATAAGTCTTGAGGCAAATAACTTGCTTTGCATTGGGTTCTGGTAAAAAATGGTCTTAAAATAAAACAAAATGGGCTTTTATGTTCAAATAGAAATACACTACATGAAAGGAAGAAAAGAAGTTTATTTCATTGGCTTTCTTAAAAGAATATAATTGTAAGTACCAGAAGTTACTGTTTTATTTTCATTCTAACCTAATTTGGTGCTCTGGGTATCAGTCATGACCCTAAGATTATTAAATTTTAAAATTTTGTTGTACTTCACATTTTACCAGCACCATAAAATACTGATATTTTAGAATCAGCTATACTTCTTAGATTTTTACATGTAGAATGAAACAATAATATACCAATCCAATTTTATAATATAACCAACTTTCAATTAATTATAATCAAGTATTACATTAATGTTACAAAATATATAGATGAAACAAAATCTTCATTTTACTTACCTAAGCCTACTTAACTAAACTTAGCTAAATCAAGTTTAATGAACTAAATCCAATTTAGTTCAGTAAACTTACCTACCTAAATTCTGACCAAAATTCTACCTGCAGAGTACAGCAGGGCTATTACATTAGCTCTACGCCTGTGACTTTCACTGTCCATCTTTAAGTTCAAAAATTCATGAGTCCAAAGGAAGGGCAAAAAAGGAATCGGTCATCATTAAACAATTTAAAGCTAATTACTAAATTTCTCAGCTTCCACACTTCTAAACAGAAAACAAAATAGTTCTGGACAAATTATGCCTACATTTAAAAAAGAAAAGAAAGACAAAGACATATTATCAATATATTTAGATATACTTTCCATCTATACAATGTTTAATTCCATACTGTGTCGATGATGAAGTCTAAGTCTAGTGTGAGTTCTACTTTATAAAAAGATCCTGACGTCATAACTTTTTCACTTAATGAAAAATTAATTTAGTGCATCCTTTATAATATTAAGATAAAGCCTGAAAACTAGTCCATTTTGCTCTTTAAATTGTATTATTTGTTTACATAATAAGCTCCTGAAGAGCAAATGCTATGTATCCATGTCCTTTGCAGTGATCTTTAATATTCAGTAAATTATTTCATGACTACAATTAAGACCCAAACAAAATTTATAATTCAGAATGAAAAGTTTTACATCACCATCGCTTCTCGGCCTTTTGGCTAAGATCAAGTGTAGTTTTACATCACCAGATTTCTCGAGTGACGCAAGATTTTCATTACCTATTTTTAGAAACAGTAAGGTTGTGCTTCATAGATATGACAGCGCTAAGGAATTTAACAGCAAGTTTATAGGACTTAATAACAAATTAATCAAATTCTTCAAAGCCCCTAACCTCCAAAACACTTTAAACCTAGACCATAAACTAAAGCCAATGGTAGGTATCACAAATGAGTCACAGCAAACATATTTCATAGCTTACCATCCTCACCTTCTTCTTCCTCTTGAATGGCTTCACTTATATCTTCATCTTGTCCAACAGGAAGATTCAAATTTCTTTCTCTTTCTGGGCACTCAGAATGAACTTTTTTTACAGCATCACTATTTAGGTTTTCTAAAGACTGAAAGTTTAAAAGACATTATAAAAGCAGAACCACTGACAGTGTCGTATCTTTTTCACCAAACACAAAAGAATTATTATTAACATGGCTTACAATTTTGTTCAATGCTGGCAGCTGTACAAGCAATACCACAAAAGAGCATGTGTGTTCCTCTATAAATGTGTGCGCAAGAATAGTTTCCAAGGCACAAGGCCAAAGATGCAATACTTCCATCATAAACAAGGTTCATTAATAGCATATAATGAACTGCCCCTGGGGAAATCTATCATAAATTTTGAATTCGGGTAATTTAAAGTATTTTTTCTTTATTGTATTTCAATGTTTTCAATTCGCAAGTGATAAATGTGGGTTTCAAACTTTTTTTTGTAATGAGTTTCTTTATGTAACAGTCACATTCTTGAGTAAGGATAAGACTTAAACTATAAGCAAATAATAAATGTGGTTTTGGATTTGTCAAAAAGAAGTGCAAGGGCTGGGGATTTAGCTCAGCGGCAAAGCGCCTGCCTGGCAAGCGCAAGGTCGTGAGTTCGGTTCCTGGTACCGGAGAAAAACCAAAAAAAAAAAATTAAAAAAAAAAAAAGAAGTGCAAGGTTAAAAGAAATTTCAGGAAAGGAATACTACCTATATGAAATAAGATTATTCATTTTTAATTTGGCTTTATCATACTTGGTTTTTTCTCTCAACAAAAGATTATCTCAGCAATGTTAGGATATTTCAATTTTATCTATAAACTTTTTACTAAAAAGGGATAAGGAAGGCTTTGTTAAGCCATAGCTATCATTTTCTCTTTTCATTAAACCTTCCATTTATTATTGACATTTTAAGAGTTTAAAAAAAGTGTACTCATTTTAGACCTAAAGAGAACAAAAAGTGATTTTGCTTCTAATTTTTTTTTATTCAAGTCCACAAACATATTTAGATAGCCCTGTAAAATAAAGTTCTCTTACCCCCGGCACCCAGTTTGCTTTTAAGAGATGCATTATATATTTTATGTCTGTAGATGTCCACAAGAATTCTATCAATTCAATACTTGAATAGTACTCCTCAGAGAAATGGTTAATCAATGACGGAATTATGATTTAGCTTATATTTAATAAACACTTAACTGCATGCCAGGATCTATGCTAAGCTCTCAGCAATACTTTAAATAACAACCGTTATCTGAGCTTCAAAAAGGGTAAGAAAAGTCACATGGTCAATAAAAGGAAAGGAGACTCAAATCCACATCTAAATTCAGAAACTATATTCTTAATTGTCATTGTAATTGCTACAACTAGGCCTAGAAACTAAAGAATCAAGAAATTACTCTCACTTCATAAAAGGAAAAATCACATCAATCTAAAGATGATGAATAAAAAGTATACACAATGGCACCCTTGTGTTTTCCTCTATTGTTTCCTTAATTTGGCTACATTGGATTTTCTATTTTTTTTTTTTTGGCTTTTCTCCGGTACCGGGAACCGAACTCTCGACCTTGTGCTTGCCAGGCAAGTGCTTTGCCACTAAGCTAAATCCCCAGCCCCTACATTGGATTTTCTTTCTTCCTTTTGTTTTTCTTTTCTAGCGCTAGGGATTCAATCCAGGATGCTGCTTACACTAAGCACCAAACTACCACAGAGCTACATCCCCAACCTGGCTTTTACTGTCCACTTTTGGTTCATAACTCCTGACAAACTGGAAGCTGAGTAAAGGGGTAAAAAATATGTACATTATACTTTCAGTGTTCATAATAAAACAGTAAAGTTGAACCATGTAAACTGTTAGAAAATTACACAAAATACTTAAAATCCATAGTAAGAGATACCAAAGATTATAAAGATTAATGAATGTATAAAAGCAGAATATCCGAACAAAAGGGCATATATACGGATGAGAAGGGAAACCAATATCAATACTGAAGAGCTTAATCACCACCTCTATTCCAGAAAATAATTGAAAGTAATGTAAAAAAGAGCACTGAACATGTATGCAAAAATTGCATATTACTTATAAAACATTACACATCATATAAAAACAAAGAAATATTAATTGGAAAACATGAAATATGAAGTTCCCAACATTGTGATGGGATCTAGCTTACAATTAAATAATACTTCCATTAAGATTCCTTTGGAAAGAACATGAAGTAATTTTTAGTAATTTTGAACATACCTTAAGCATCTCCATTTCTAAATCTTCATCACTTTCAATTATAAAAGATGAATCTTTTTCATTACCATCTGGAGATAAATGCTTTAAAAAAAGCATTTCAAAATTAATTGCCAGTAATTGATCACCCTCTTTTCTTCTACAAAATAAAGTTATCAATGTTATCTATCTTTAGCCATCTTTTCTCTTCTCTAATAGGTAAATTTACAAATCATACTTATATGTTTATATAATATGAAGAAGAAAAGCAGAAGGAAGAAGGAATGACAAGAAAAACCAAGAACCAAAGGGAAAGAAAGAGTTAAAAACTTACAGAACTTAAATTCACAGACTTTCAATAAAATCTCTACTCTTAGAGTAAAAAGTGAAAAGTTCAACTATGCATAAACAATGTCAAATGTTGCAAAAATCTGTAGAGATGGTGGTACACACGTGTAATCCTAGCACTCTGGGAGGCTGAGGCAAGAAGGATGTAAACTTGAGCCGCCCCTGGGCAATTTAGGCACTTAGCAAAATCCTATCTCAGAATAAAATAAAAAATGAAAATGGCTGGGGATGTAGCTCAGTGCCAAGAGCCTGGATTCTACACCCAGTACCACAAAAAAAAAAGGTCAAGAACAGCAATCATTTTTTTTAGGGGAACTGATTTTAAAAATACAGTTGGTATATTATGCCTGTATATCTTTAAATAGATCAATATTGTATAAGTAGCATCCATATGAATTTGAAAAAGTGTCAGATATGTTATTTACTTAGTCTTTACATAAGGTTGGATATGAGGAATCTTAACAATTTGCCAAGCCTCAGGAAGTGTCCAACAGCATAAAAATCCACACAAAGAAACTCACAAAAAAAGATTAAGAAAAGATGCCCCTGAAAATGCCTAACACTTCAACTGAAGAAAAAGAAATAGTCTTAATCTGCAAATTTTAGGTTTAAAAGAGTTTAAAATAAAACTTTAACAGGGAGAAATTCTACTTTTTAGATAAGGTCTTTAATGAATAAAGAAAAAATGTTATTTATTATTAAAAATGGCAACAACTGGTCTAGAAGTCATGAAATCATGATCATAATTCTATACTATATGAAATACATAATGTTGAAAGTATATACGTAACAAGAAATTTTTGGAGAATTCAAGGGTAACACAGATGTTAGCAAAAGACAATACTTACTGATGGGGGAACCTTGTGCAAATGCTTTGAGAATATTTTATAAACAATTTTAAAACAAAAAGCATTCACAGACTAATGGAAAGGGTTACTGATGTAATTAAAAAGAGTTTATCCATTAGAAATTTTGTTTCCGTTAGAAAAATGATAAAATAATTCTATTAAAATGGTTTTCAAAATCTACATACTTATTTTTTGCAAGAAAATGTAAAATTCTACAGAACATGAGCTTCTTGACTAATTTCTACTAGTGAAAAACCAAGTAAGAAGTTTAGAATTTAAGAAAAAAATAAGTTATTTGAAAAGCTCTCACCCTAACAGGCATTTACGCACAAAAGGCACATCTTATTTATCTATGGCTGCTTTCACACTACAAAGGCAGAATGGACTGTGTGCAGCAGAACGTGTACGTCCCATAAGGTTTAAGTTATTTACCACAAGCCTCTTCACAGAAGTTAGCCCCTACTGTGAATGTAAAAAGTGTCTCCACTTTGTTTAGTACCTCAGCAGACTGAAAAGAAACATCACTAAGATATTTTTCTTGAGCCTGCTGTTCCAAAATTTGGAGGTCATATTCTGTAATATCTAATGACATCAAACAAGTTCTTTCCATATTTTCTTCCACGTTATTGTCTTTTATTCCATCTTCAAAGCCATCAGTTTGTTTCATTGTATCTCCAAGTATATCTTCACCATCATGTTTAATTAAATTATCAAGTGTTGTGTCCCACGTCTCATCTTTAACTTTGTTAAAAACGTTATGTTCTCTAGTTTGTTTCTGTTCTTCTCCAACAGCAGCTGAATCCTCCACTGACAGTAAATGAAAATTACTGCTGGGCCTCAGGTCAGACTCGGTGTTAGTACAGGCAAATATCATCTTCCTCAGTGAATATAGATTTTCTGAAATATTCTTCAATATTACAGGAACCCTATAAAATTTGTAAGAAGATTAAACTTTAATTATATTAACTATAAGAACAAATTTGAAAGCTGTTTAATAAATAAAAATTTTCTGAAACCGCTTAGAGAAGACTCGTTGGATTACGCCTGCGCTTCATTCTGAATGCCCCATGTTAAGAGCTGGGTTACTCTCTAGCACAGGTAGGTATTTCTGCATCCAACCACTGATTTGCATGTTCACAAAGCATTAGTTGTATGTGGTCCCAATCTGTTAGTGCCAGCTACATTTTTTTTGTAATTAATTTAATTAAACATAAAGTAAATCAATGATACACAACAAAAAATGTCATAAAATTCTGCACTGAGCATATGGAAAGACTTAGCACATTTCCTTTTTTAAAAAAGTTCTTTGATAAACTATAGTCAAAGTAAATATAAAAGTATAGAGGAAAAACCATAAAAATTCCTACAACTCTCCATTTAGATTGCTTCAAGTGTCATAATTTTTCCCTCCATTTTAAAGACACTGAAATTGTAAACAACCTAAGTACAGTCTAAACAAGAAACATTTTGCAGAACAAACAGTAGCCTACATTTAATGAAAAAGTACTAATGTAGACCAAAATATTGGGAACAAACATAGTTTAAGTTAAAAGAAAAAGTTTGGGGCTGGGGATTTAGCTCAGCGGCACAGCCCCTGCCTGGCAAGCACGAGGTCGTGAGTTCAATTCCTGGTACCGGAAACCACCCCTCTCCCCCCAAAAAAGAAAAAGTTTATGACCCAATATTTTATCTAACTTTTTCATTACTGAAAAAAATCTCAAATGTAACAGTTTTTACACTGAAGTTTGAAAATGACACTTTACTTCTTTAAAAATGAACACATATTCTTTAAAAAAGGAAAAATAAAACTTTCCATCAGTAGGCAAATAAAACAAATGCAAAGATAAAACATTCATATGAATAAATGGCCTACAAATTACATTTAACCCATTGCAATTGTTAATATGTAATGTTTTAACTGACGCTAAATGGCTGCACAGTATAGTCGCTAACCCTAATTAATCAAAATGGAAAACCACTGCTAGAATATAAAATAAAGCACACTATCTTATCTACTAGTTATAGGTCTTATTAAAGCAATTTTTTAGGTACTTCATAAAAGTGGAAATTAGAGACAGTAAAGGGAGCACAATGAACAGCAAGACATATTTGACCATGTAATTAGTGCTTTTTAGGTTTTCTAATTTTGCAGTATTTAAAATCAATACTTAATAAAATCTGAAATGCCTTTTAAAATTTTATATTAATGATGCAAATAAAAATTTGCTTTGACATGCTAATAAACTATAGCTGGGTCGTTTCAGGAGTTATTTCCACAATACTCCAAAGTTGAGCTCAAGTTTAGGTTGGCAAATCCAAATTAATACACAAAAAAATCAAGAGCAAAATTATATTCAAAAACTAAAACCACAGCAATTTTAGTGTTTTAAAATTTTGTAAACTATAAAGAATACTTAGCACTGTACACAGCTATTCAAATATAAGAACCTTGTACATAGAGAGGTTTGGTCCAAACATAGTTCATTACCTGTATTGAGAATGCTGAAACATATAAACACAGCAACAGTGGCACAGATCTAATAAAAAAACTATTAAGAGTTCATTTACCCTTCACTAACATTAGAGGATGACTTGTGTCATGTAAGATAGCTAATATCTACTCTTAACAAATATCAACAGCTTCCTGCTTTACTCAATAAGGCATAAAGGACATTTCTTACTTTATTAGGATTGTTATTAGTTATACCAGTTGACTGCAGACAGCTTTAGCTCTCACCAGAACATCAAGTACAATAACAACAATACAACAGATATATATGGAATCTAAAACAATGATTAAGCAATACTATATTCAGTGAATGCTCAGGGTCCACTAAGCATCAAGTTGTTCTCTTCTGCAGTAAACCTAAAAGTACTCTATTTGAATACTTCCTGGTTTGTGGATAGAGGCATGGCAGTACATGCCTGTAATTCCAGCTACTTGGGAAGCAGAGGTAGGTGAATCTCAAATTGAAGGCCAGCCTAGGAAACAGTGAGACCATGTCCCAAATATAAAAATCAAAAGGATGGGGGATGTATTTCAGGGCTCTCTGGTTCAATCTCCTGTCGAAAAAAGAAAAAAGCCCTTCTCTGCACAGATGGCCAGCTGTCACTTCCGGCTGCTGTCAGGCACATTTCACTTCTTATTCCTATCATTTTTATTTTAATCAGATACACAAACTTTTCAAACTGTATCTATAAACAAAACTCCAAAGTACTCTGAACATGGCCTCATGTACTTTACTGGAAATGCAAAAAGTGAGTCTGAACTCATGCTTATGACACACAGTCTGACTGCTGGAAGGCCTTTTTGGCTGTCTCCTGGGATTCTGAGGTATAATTTAAGTAAGTCAAGATTCACTGTAGACTTACTACAAAAAAAACATAAAATAAGAGAGTTGACTAGTTCTTGTTTGGACACTAAAACTTTGTAAGACATAGTATTTCCATTCCTAAGTTTTAAGAAAACCTAGTTAGCTGTGATGTTATGAAGCAAAGCATTAAGCATATGTAACTTACACGAGGTATATATTTTAATTGCTAGTACATATATCTGAAATGCATGTAAAAATCACATAAAAGGTGATTTTTCTAACTTAAAAGAAACATGTAAAAATGAGTAAGAAACAGCTTTAACGATACCTTTCCTATTTGAAAGTTATGTCTTTTAGAAATTGTCAGTTACATAAAAATTACTAAAACAAATTGGTAGAAGGGAAAAAAAACTATGTCGAGAAAATGCTGAATTTCGATATCACTTTGTTAAATCTTTCAATCAAAATCCATAACAAATCTCATCCAAAAAAGAATACATTAACATTTTCTCATATGAATAGTGTGTGAATTACATTTAATTCTAATTAATGTATAACGTTTCTAATGAATTACATTTCTAATCCAACTAACTGCTCATTTCTACAAAGTATTCTTTGCCTCAGAATTACATTATCATATATTGTAACTGTTCACTGTTCAAGAACATTCCCGCTTATAGAGATTTAGCAAGGAAGTCACTCAGTAATTAAGACCAGAGAAAGGTCTGGTTCCAAGAAAGAGTGAACTACATAGGACCTATAGTTCAAGGTATATTAATATGTGAACAATATTCAGTCTAAATATCTCAAGTCATTTAGTGCTTTAGCTATAAACAAATTTTAAACTTTGAATATCTTTTGTTCTAGTAGTCTACTTTAGGTAAAATGATTAAATAGTAACCCCACCAAAAATAAAGCTACTCAGTGTAAAACTTGTTTTTATTGATAGACTTGAAGTCACCAAATTACAATAAATATAATTACAGATTGCTCATAAACAGAAAAAGGATAACTTTGCATCTTAAATATTTTCCTTAATGTGTACTTATTTTGCTTTGACAAAAGATATAATATAAATATAATTTATTTGTTTCATAAAGTATCCTACTAAGCCAACAGAAAAACCTAAGCCCTCCAGATGTACTATTTCACAGCTGTAAAGATTTCTCAAATACATAAATCAGTCTGTGTGCATGTATTCAAGCAAATTATGTATAAGTCTATCTTAATGAACAGTTAATTATTCACATATAGGAATAAGAACAAACAGAATGATAAAAATATAATATACAACCTCTGTGGATTTTCCAATTTTCTGCAAGTGTCAGGAAAATGCTCAGCCAGATATATCACCTCCTCAGAGATTGCAGTCAACTGTTTCTTCATTTCACTAGGTAGGATTTCCTCCACTGGAGGGCAAAAATCAGTATTAATTTTCAAACTACACAGCAGAGATATTTTAGCCACTTCATTAGACAGTATTAGTTCAGATTTCCATTTTCATTCCTTAACTGAATTCCACCCAAAAAGGCTTCCATATTTGATCCCCAAATGACCTCAGTCACTTTCTTTCAGATTTCTGCTCTTCAAATAATCTACACTCATGTAGACCATAATCTATTGGTTACTGACCTAGCCAGAAGAAGGTAGAAGTGAAAATCTGAACCCTTCTGCCTTATTTCTAGATCAGAAATTAATACAACCATGTAGGCGCTACTTGATACAGTTTAGTAAACATAACCTTACCCAAGAATCACTCTCCATTGCTCTCATTACTAGACATCACTAAAATAAAATGCAAGCCTTTGTAATCAGTGATCATCTTCCAAATACCCAATTTCATTCCGTCTAGTACACCATTCTCCATCTACAGTACAAAACCTGACCCCATCCCCAAACTCATCCCTTTCTTAGAATTTCTTCTCACCACTTTTTTTCAATCTCCACAAAATTCAGTTCCACTAAACCCAAGACTGGGTCCTTTGAACCGAGAACTAAGTAACCTGTTACTCCTGGTTCCTACAGTTACCCTATGATCTCAAAATCTGTCTTTTATTTGCTGATGATGTTAGCACCTGCTCCACTGCTCTTCCTTCCACAGCTACTCCAGTGATGATTACTAATGATTTCAGCATCCATAGAGGCGCTCCACAAAAGTGTGCCCTTTTATGTTCCTTGACCCCTCCATTTCTAAAACTCTTTTCCTTAACTGGTATTAGCCACTCGTTCCCCCAGTTATACCCTTGACCTGGTAATTACCTAATAAAAATCACCACTTCAACACTTCAAATGTAAATATTCCACAGCCCCTGAATGCCACGCCTTTCTTTCCAGCATGTTTTTCTCAATACAACAATCCTTTGATATTTTCAGAAACAAATTCATTGACCATAACAACTTTTCCTTACCCATTAATCTCCCGGTTCCCACTACCCACCGTTCCTTTCTTTTCTTGCCTACATTATGATAACCATTGCTTCGATATATAGATTCTCAACTCCCTGGCTCTTCCTCACCCTGAATAGAACTTACCAGGAAAGATCTCTAACTCAACCCACCTTTCTGCCTAACATCCAAGTAGTTAAATGTTCAGTTGAAATTAAAAAACAATAATGACTTGTTTGAGTTTAAATTCATGACACATCTCAAATGAACCCTCTACTATTAATTCCACCGTTCCCACTCTTAAGATGACTATTTCACACCTATTCCTTTCGTGTAGAGCTTCAAACCCTGCTCTTCCTTTCACTCATGGAACAGCTTCGCCTCTAATTCCATGAAGATAACAGACACAATAACAAGAGAATCACCTCATCTTCCAACCTTCCAATTTCTAGTCTGTGTTCATATCTCTAGTCCCATTTACAGCAAAATCCTTTGAAACGCTTATCTACAATCAGTATCAAATTTTATGCTACCATATTCTCCTATACTAATTCCAACTAAATTTTCACATAAATCAATACAGCAAAGCTGCCTCTGGGATGGCCTCTACTCTATCAAACCTAATTGTTAATAATAGATCCTCATCTTATGCAAACTCTCAGAAGGCCTTAAAACTGTTAGCCACACACACACACACACACACACACAGAAATCATTTTCTTCACCTGGCTTCTGAATACTACTGCCCCTGTACTTCTTCCTTCATTACTGTCCTTCTCAGTTCTCTTTGCTATTTTCTCATCTTTCTGATTTCTAAATGTTGGTGAATCCTTGACATCATTAGTCAATACCTCTTTGGTTCTTGATTTCATTCATTTATTCTTTTCTTTCCTTTTTTCTTTTTCAGTAATGGGGATTGAATATAGGGCCTTTTGCATGCTAGGCAAGCACTCTAGCACTGAGTTATATCCTTAGCCCTCTAACACTCCCTATTTTCCATTTTTTAGTTTCACTACTTTGAACTACCATCTGTGTGATTATAATTCCCAATCATCTCCAACCTCAACCAGTCCCCTCAACTACACAATCACATTTCCAACTAAGATATATTCTTAGATAGTAAAACTCATTTCAAATGTACTATACCCAACACTAAAGTCTAGATTTTTCTCTGGAAGAATAATAATAACAAACCCTTCCTATAGTTACGAACCCTTTCATATACCCAGTTGCTTCAAGCAAAGTACCTTGATTGTTCCATCAGTCTCGGTATCTTTCTCCTCACAAAGAATTCATGTGCAAATCCTTGTACATATCTAAAGCATCTACCGTCTCTAACTAACTACCTCTGTTGCAATATCCAAACAATTGCCATCTTTTGCCTGGACTATCAAAATAGCCTTATAACTGCCTGCCAAACAGTTGCACTCATACAGCAGCCAGAAAAACACTTTCAAAATAAAATTTTAATCATATTCTTCTGCTCCTCACTCTCTAAGGTTTTCCCACCACCCATCATCATAGTAATGTGCATTAATAAAACATGGAGTCAGACTCACAGCATACAATGCCCTAAATGATCTGGCCCAAGCCACTTTTCCAGTCTTGTTTCCTACCACTCTTAGCTCTGTTCATTTCTCTCCAGTTACACACTGTCCCTTAAACAAGGCAACCAATCACCTTTAAAAGTTTTGTACTTTCCTGTAAGAGTGCTAGACTCTTCCCTCAGATATCTATATGGCTAGCTCCCTTAGTACTCAAATGAAATGAAGGTACTCAAATGAAGGTTTTGTTCAGTGAGTTTTCTCACGTACCTGTAACAGTGCCCATTATAAGCAATCAACAAATCTGTGTTATTTGAATCAATAATAATCCCTTTCCAAGTTTTAAAAAAAAGGACATTCATGCACACTTAAGATCCCATTCCTTAGCTTTAACTCAACCCTCTATTTACTCTAATATGCTCTCCACCCATATCATTCCACTACTCTTCTCTTGCTATGGTTATACTACCTTCTTGTTCCCAAAGTCTCTAGATACTTTTTTGTTTTAATAGTATATACTCTTTTAGTCAATCAGTAAAGCTACTATAGTGAACGGTTAGAAATAATTGCCACATTGCCCAATTTAATACATAAATACAAGTACTCAAAATTTAAAACAGTTGGAAAAATCTTCCTGCATAGAACACATTCTCCACTTGGCTTTCGGCATACCACACTTCATTTCCTCCCATGCCTATAGTAACCCTGTGGTGTCCCAGCCTTCCACACAAATATTAGACATAAGAGTTCTGCAGGGCTCTTAGTCCCTAACTCATCTCTAACTCCAACTGTCCTCTGAGATACAACCTAGATAGCTAAGTGCCTACAGGCTACCCCTCCTCTGCTATCTTAAAGTTTTCTCTCCTTTAACATAGCTAAAATCAACTATATACCTCCTCTCCCATGAATCTTCCTCTTCCTCATCAATGTTTTTCCATCCCCATTGGTTTGCCACAAGTAACACACCTAACATTCTAATCCTTGATCCTGACGGATTACACCTTAATGTCCACACTGGTTAGACATTCAAGAAGGTATAATAAGCAAGTTGCTGCCACCATACCACAACCCAATGGCAACCATCCCCAAATTCCAATCTGTTTCAACATTTTGCTTCTCCTTGGCAGCAGAAGCTGGACTAATCAACCCAATCATGGATAAGGCCAATGCCCAGGGATAAAAAGTAAGCATAGAGGGCCAGCAGACCAAGAAAGGAAGTACAGACACGGCCAGCAGCTTCAGGGATTCCAGTGTTACTCTCCCAAAATGACTGGCTTAGAGACAGCTGTGAAAGACCACCATGGAGGCTGAAGGCTAGATGTACACCCCCCGCCCAGAGGAGTTTAAACTCAGGACAAGAAGGACACATACCCTGCCTTCTGTAGTGAGAAACCAGGCCAGAGAATACTGACAGTAAGTCCCAAAGTCTGCTCGAACCCTGGTCCCTCAGCCTACATCAGGCAGAGACCAGAGGGCTGACTGCTTTATAAGCAAGGATACATATCAGCTTGAACAGTTACCACCGTCTGGGGTGAGTGGACAAAGGGGTCTAAAGGCCCCAAATCCATGTAGAGAACATGGTGACTTACTTAATTCCAAGTAGGCAGATGCTGGAAAGAAACCAGTCATTCAAAAACACAAAGGCATTATTTTTTATTCAATCTTTACTTTGCTCTCTGTTCTCCCTTTTCTTGTTTGTTCTTTCCTGTTACTGTTTTCTAATATAATCAATTTCCTTTTACTCTTCAATATGATCCCCTACTAACTTTTCTCTTTTCTCACCTTCCATTCATTCGTTTCTCAAATTTCCTTTTCTCATTTTCCAGTTCCCCTCTCCCTCTACCTTTACTATTATATCTATTACATTTTATGCAACTTTAGATAGCCAGTGAACTCTATGCTATTACTGCTGAATATCATTCTATTGTTAGTGGAGGTGAGGTTTCATTTGGTAGATATTTACTGTAGGTCAGTATTTGGTTTGCCATAGTGTTTATATTTCATTATATATCTCATTTCGATGGTTAAGGGTGGCACATTATTCATTCTTAGGTTATGTCAATATCCAATTTGTCTTTTTTGTGTACCAGGAATCAAACCTAGGACCTTGCGCTTGCCAGGCAAGCACTGTACCACTGAGCTATATCCCTAGCCCCTCCAATTTGTCTTTGACACTACCATTGTTGCTGATTTTATTACTATACTCGTTGGCATACTTGTTTCTATTAATTGCTTTTCTCTCCATGACAGTATCTGGATTGCCTTTTTATCATTAACAATAGTGTGATTCATTTTCTGGAGAATATGGTAATGGTCCAAATATATTGCAGCATCCCCTTCCAAATAAACGGAGCCAGTTGGATCCTGGGAAAGAAGCACTTGCCAATAATTAGCCATGCCCAGAAAGCATAGCTGAAGAGATGACATTAACTAAAGAGGTCTTCATACTTGCAACAAAGCCTTCCACTATATTCAACCCA